ATGCACTATGATGGCACACTCGGCAGCCCCTGGAGTAGAGCAAGTTGATGCGATGAATTATCAGCGACAGGGCTACTACAATCAGCCTTACGGACAGCAGCAACAAGGGAATTACGGGTATGTAAATCAGCAGCAGCAGTCTAGAAACTATAATCAACAACAAACATCTCAGTCAATGCTAGAGAGCTTTAAGAAAGAGAGTGAGCAGAAATTTTCTAGCATAGAAGAAACACTCAAGAAGCTGCTGCAATTTCAACAGCAACAGATGCAATTTCAACACCAACAAATGCAAAATCAACAGCGAGAGCAGCAGCAAGCAGACTCAAGGATGCAAATAACTGAGGCAAGGATACAGAACATGGAGACTCAAATGGGGCAGATCTCAAAGGCTTTATCTGAGAGGCCTCTGGGATCCCTTCCTAGTAATACTGAACCAAATCCAAGAGAACATGTTCATGCAGTCACCTTGAGGAATGGAAAAGAGCTAGAACCTGCTGCCATGGCAAAAAAGCCCGTTGAAGTTAAAGATGTACCTTCTGCCCTAGAGGAAGAAAAGGAGTTAGAAGAGGGACGAGAGGTGGCAGCTGCACTAAAACAGCCCGTTCCGGTTAAGAATTACACCCCACCTCTCCCCTATCCGGCGCGATTGACAAGGAAGAATGATAGTGACCAGTTTGGTCATTTTCTGAAACTCATGAAACAAGTCCAGCTCAACATTCCATTCGTAGATGCACTAGCACAGATGCCGAAGTACGCCAAGTTCATGAAGGATTTACTCACTAACAAAAGGAAGTTGGAAGACGCGTCAACGGTAAGGCTTAACGTGGACTGTTCAGCAGTGATTAGGAGGGATCTACCAGAGAAGCTTAAGGATCCAGGTTCTTTCACTATACCTTGTTTAATAGGAGATCTTACTTTTGATAGGGCCTTAGCTGATTTGGGTGCAAGCATTAATTTGATGCCATATTCCTTGTATGAGAAGCTTGCACTCGGTCCACTTAAACCAACGCGTATGTGTATTCAGTTGGCTGACCGTTCAGTCAAATATCCTAAAGGCATTATTGAAGACGTGTTGGTTAAAGTGGACAAGTTTATTATTCCTGTAGACTTTGTTATTTTGGACATGAATCAGGATCGAGAGGTACCATTGATTTTGGGCAGACCATTCTTGGCAACTGCCCGAGCACTTATTGATGTTGGAGATGGTAAGCTTGTCCTCCGCGTTGGGGATGAGACTGCCACCTTTGATATGTCCAAAATAATGAAGAGGCCCTGTCAGGATAGTGGAGAGTGTTTTTATTTGGATGACATAGATTCAATGGTGGAAGATTGCATCCCGAACATGCTTTCTAATGAAGCCCTTTCTGACCTTTTGTTTGAGGATAGTGTGTCAGCAGAGGATCTTGAGCCCCTCCCTAGTTTTGATTGTCTTATGATAAGTGGAGAGGAGGACTCAAGTGATGCTAGTTCTGTGCAGGGAACGGAAGATGATTTAGATAAGGTGGAGAAGAGAAATTTTCAGCCCGATTCCTTATTTGTTAGTCCTTCTCCATTAAATCTAAACTCTCTTCCATTCCACCTTAAGTATGATTTTATTGATGATAATCCTGACCCCCCTTTCATTCTTACACCCGAGCTAGAGCCATCCCAAAATTTTTCATGTTTTAATTTACTTAGTGAACAAGGGGAAGTTCTAGCCCGAAAATTTCTTAACATAGAGGGGAGTTGTCCATCCTTTGACCCATTCTTTGCTAAAGGGCCGGATAAAGGCCACAATTCATTCTGTTGCTTTACGGGTAACCCTGAGATGCGTAATTGTTTTCATGAATTTGAGGTCTTACGCCATCTCAGGGCATTTGTTGATAAGAGGTTTGATTTGTGGAAGACTAATTTTCTGAGTGGGAGTGTCTTTGATTGAGTTTTTGATGAGGTGGTTGCGTCGGGCAAACGACGTTAAAAATAGCGCTTCTCGGGAGGCAACCCGAGCTTATTTCTACTGTTGCTTTTGCTTTGTTTGTTGTTTGGTTGTTTTGCTTTGTGTTTTTGTTGCAGCCCAGGGTCTTGTTATAGGGAGGATGTGCCGAGGATCATTGACTCAATTTAGTTCTGCACCGGCCAGCGCTATAGGGGAGTTTCCATGATTCTTTTTACTCGATGCGTAATGTTAACTTGAGTTGATTTTGAGCACGCGTGACCCTTTCCTCTTTACCCCTAATACATAATGCATATTTGGTCATCGAGGACGATGCCAAAGTTTAAGTGTGGGGGAGTGAATTGGGCATTCGAGCAGTGGTTGTTACATGAGATTATTAGAGTTAGCATGCACAGGTGTTAGTTGTATATTCATAAGAAATTCATGCAAAATTTTTGAAAATTTTTCTTTAAACTGTGTCTTTGTGAGCTGGCTAGCGTTTTGACTATGCTTTTAGAACATCTTTGAAGTGTTTAGGCTTAAATTGCTTGCATTATAATCTAGTTGTTGAAAGGATGAAGGCATTAGTCACCCATTGAATTTTCCATTAATCATCCCCCCCACCTGAAAAAAATCCTTTAGGAGAAGCCATTTTGAGCCTGACCGTTTATTGTTACCCGATTAATTGAGCTCCATAGCTAAATGGCCTGTGTTCCTTACCCGTGAATATTTCTGACTTAGTCTTGATGTTTAGGGAATTAAGGGATTAATTTGCTAAGTTTAGGGAATTGTGTGTAGGAGCCATTTTTGGCACTGTTCCTATGCCCAAATGGGGTAAGAGCAGTCACTTTTTAGGAATATGATACTTTCGAGGATTGCATTGTAGGCATGGATTCACTTTGAAATTAATGAACTTAAATTGCTATTTTTTCCTTGGTGAGGCCGAGATTAGAATGGAGTAATGTCTAGTGAGAATCTGAAAGGTGAAAAATTAATATAGCTAGACCTCTTACTTTTCGAAAAAGAGAATGGGAGCCCCGGTCAAAAAGCATAAGATGAGACTTGGGTATCTTTCGAAAGAAACGGCGTTCTCGTGCCAACATGACAAGGAAAACTGAACCTAATTAATGAACTTGGAGGCTATTGAAAAATTAGCTTTAGTCCTCCGCGTACTTCAAGTATACGTCAAAGCACAAATGTGCCGAGACGGTTTAGCTTAGTTGTACACCATGTCTACTTTTTGCATAGGTTTAAATGATTGTTCCTAAATTGTGGCCTACTGAGTTCTTTGATCCTAAGAATAACCCTGAAGTTCCTGAATGCATTGAGTCTTTGTTAGAATATCCTTATCTCTCAAAATAAAGGGACTATTATCATTAACCATTCACCATCACATTCACAAGTCCTTCTGATCAGTAGCTAGCTTATTTGTGTATGCTGTCATTACTTTGAGGATGTTGTGAATATTTATGTCAAATAGTTTAGCTTGAGTACAAAGGTGTAGTTTAGGGAAGAATTTTCTTGGTTTAAATTGTCTGTCCTGTGAATATCCCTTTAACTACGTGTGTATGCTAACTATTTTAAATTCCGTGTGGTGATTATCGTAAGTCCCGTTGTTCGATTTGCTTGAGGACAAGCAAAAGCTTAAGTGTGGGGGAGTCTGATAAATCCGTATTTAGACACGCATTTGATGCGTGTTCGGGTCGGACTTTGATGATTTTCCTGGCTTTAAGGTGTTGCAAGTCTCAATTTTGGCTCAAGTTGTGTTTAGCAGGCGTTGGATCGAGTTTCATTGCATTTGGAGTTGATTTGAAGAAGTTAGAGTCCGGCAATCGGCGCTTGAGAGGCATTCGGGAAGGATTTGAAGGTATTCGAGAAAGATTTGGAAGATTTGGAGGCCACCGGGAGATTCGCGACGAAATTCTGGTGAAGAAAGAGCAGTTGGATCGACCTCGTAGGCATCCGGGAGCATTCGGAGCAAGAAAACGAAGGAAAAGTGAAGAATAGGGTCAGGCACGCCGTGCCTGGCAGCTAGGCACGCCGTGCCTGGCATTTTTCGAAGAGTCGAGCTACTGGAGGCCAGGCACGGTCGTGCCTGGCAGTTAGGCACGCCGTGCCTGGACGCGAAACCGGCCTTCTTCCGTAGGCACGGTCGCAGGCACGGTCGTGCCTGGCACCGTGCCTGGCCGCGATTGATCCTAATTCGACCCGAATTCGTTGTTTTCTATAAATAAGGCCTCCATAACCCCGTTTTTGGGGTTACGAACTTTGGAGAGAGGCCTAGGGACGAGTTTTACCTGCGTTTTTACGTTGTTTAATCCAAGAACCTGGGATTCTTTGTAAGCTCAATTCTTTAATTAATGACAATTATTTCTATTCATCCCAATTCTGTTGATTCTTCAATTATGAATTGTGAGTAGTTTAATTAGGGATTTGGGGTTGATGAAGGGGTTAATCATGATTGATGACTAGATTCTTGTCGGTTTAATTGCATGAATGCCGTTTAATTTGTGTTTGAATAATTTAATTGATATCTCTTGTAACCTAGACTGCAGCTAGAATTACAATTGCATGTAGAATGAATTAAGAGAGATCTAATTTGTTCTAGGACACATTCACACACACTTAATCGTTCGCTAAGAGATTAGTAGCGATTAAGGGGCCGTAAGCTCGCTCGTCTTGGCAATAATTTAGGATCTTGTCGCATGAGAGATCAGCCTGGTCCCCTAAATTATTGTACTCTACGTCGCGAGAGCGGTAAGAACTTAGTAATGATTAGCTAGGCTCAATTAAATTAAATTCATGTGATTAGGCCTGTTCTGCCAGAAATCTGGTTAACCCCGGAATCAATTCCTGTTCCCTTAGTCGTTAATTAAGGAAAACCAAATCTTTTTATTCGCTCGATAGCATTAGTTTTAGTTTAATCAATCAACCAATCTCGCACAATTGCACTTTTATTTTATTTATTTCTTTTTAATCGCTAAAGTTTAGTTAATCTTTATTTCCCTTTTGTCCGTCCCTGTGGAGACGATACTCGTACTTTACACCACTTTTCTACAACCATTTTTAAGTGCGAGAAAACACACATCACGTCCCCAGCCCCAGCCCGACCGCCAACTCCCCCAGATCTAGCCCAAACTTCACCCAAACAGCCTGATCTTGCTCTGACCAGCCCCTTTACAACTGTTGCACCATCTGAACCGGCGGCTGCGGAGCAGCGAGACGAAATCGCCACATCCTCGAACTCATCGAAGCCCCAATCGTCGCCTTAGCCACCTGTGGCTAGTTTAACACGTCGCTGCCTCGAAGGCCTAGCCATACCGCCGCACCACGTTCGGACAGAAGGAGTAGAATAAGAAATCTGCAGGTGAGATGATAATGACGACGGCGTGATCGGCGAGGCGAGATGGTGGAAGGCGTCCGCTTGGAGATAAGAGCAGAGATCGAGGGTGAAGGAAGTTTGTTGTGCGCGTCTGCTTGGAGATAACGCAAAGGAACGGGAGATGGGGATATGCAGGGTCACTTTTGTGTCAAAGTCTAAATGAGTCATATAATTAGAATTCAAAAGCCCAATAGTATTATACGGGTCATTATTTCGTCATTATTTTGTTGCTCAAACACAGTATATAATACGTATATATGCTCATATCTCGAATACTAATACAGAGGGTGAAGTCAGAACAGTGTACTGCTCTCCAGACCAGACAGCCGCCGGACACGGTTGCCGGCGTTTTGCTACTGAACCGCCACCCGCCGCGGCTGCTGTAAACAACCCCAACCCAAGTAATTACCTTTACGCCTGTGCGAACACGTCTACTATATTCTCTGACCAACCCAAAAAAGTTCAGCAAAAGTATCTTCAGAAGAAACGAGCAGAAAGCTAAAAACCAAACAAGAAAAGCCAAAAAGGACGAAAATCAAGCCCATTCCTGCCTCTTAATCTTCTACAGCTACCCCGCTCCAATCATTTCTGCCCTTTAACTATTAAATACGGAGTGCTGGAATGGAGGAGAGGCCGGAGGCGGAGCTGATATCAATACCGGCGACGCCACGCGCGTCGACGCCGGAGATTCTGACGCCGTCGGGGCAGCGGTCGCCGAGGGGGGTGCCGTCGTCGAAGGAGGGGAAGTCATGGACGCCGACTTCGTTCATATCCCCGAGATTTCTGAGCCCAATCGGGACGCCGATGAAAAGGGTTCTGGTGAACATGAAGGGTTACTTGGAAGAAATGGGGCATCTGACGAAGCTGAACCCGCAAGACGCTTGGCTTCCCATCACAGAGTCCCGCAATGGCAATGCTCACTATGCTGCTTTCCATAACCTCAATGCTTCTGTTGGATTTCAAGCTCTTCTCTTGCCTGTAGCTTTCTCTTTTCTGGGATGGTATCTCCTTCTCCTTTAATTTGGACCATTTTTGTAATTTTGATTCATTTTTTTGAATACCATCTCATTTGGTTGCTCCTATTTCTGTACAAAGTTGCCAACTTTTATCCTTTTCTGTTGGCTTCCAAGATCTCCTCTATGCCTGTTGGTATCTCCTTAATTGATTTGGGTCATTTTTGTAACTTTTATTGCTTTTTCGAATACCATTTCATTTGTTTGCTCCTATTTCTGCATAAAGTTGCAATCTTTTTCCATTTTATGGCTTCCAAGTTCTTCTCTTGCCGGTTGCTTCCTCTTTTCTTGAAGGAATGGTATCCCTCCACTTCTTCCTCTTCTTCTGAATTTGGGTAATTTTTGTAATTTGAATTGCATTTTCGAGTACCATTTCATGAGCCTGCTTCTGTTTCTGTATAAAGTTGCAAACTTTTTTCAATTCCTGTTTTTGACCTTTTGTGTGGTTTAGTATTAGAATATCTTCTAGGGTTGGAGGATGAGCAGGTGAATTTAGAAAAATCTGCCAATATTGTTTTCCATCCAATTTTTACCACTCACTGTTCCGTGTATTCTTTTTGGGCCATTTCTTTTGTTTGAGCTTTGTATCTTCCACGATTTATTTTGGACTGTATTACACTTTTGCCCACCTTAAAATCACAATTCTGGAAAGAATTGATTCTTGGAGGCAGACGGCTCTCTCTCTTAATTAACATGAAATACGGAGTGCAAGAGGCTCTACTCTCTGGCCTTTTTCTCTCTTTATTACTCAGTACTAGTTTTGAAATAGTTGTTCTGATTGATTGATTTTATTTATTATGGAGTACCATTATTATTACTCCGTATTATTATTAGTATTATTATTATTATTATACGGAGTATTATTCTATTTTAGTCACGAGCCATCATTTATAATTTCGAGGCAGTTTGTGTCTTTATCATGCTTCCTTATATGTTGCACAAATGATGATTATTCCCTTTAGTGGGATCATCCCTTTTGACCACTCTAGTCTAGCTTTATAAAGTAAAAGTATAATCTTTTCTTTATTCCGTATAAATTATGATAAAGACAAGGAGTGTGTATAATGTCAATTTTGTCTCTCAAGTATAATCGGCAGGTGTGGCAAAAAAGAGACCAGATGGCTAGACTGATTGACATGTCTAAATCCCTTATAATTTGATTAATTCTGTTACACCCAAAATTTGTATACGAATTGTACACTGCCCCATACACAAACATTTTGGCATAAAATTTTACCTTTTTTAAAATGAATTGTGTGTAAACAGACAACTAAGGGGTTATGTACAATTTGTGTACTAATTTTGTGTACAAATGTAATTTTCCTTATAATTTTGCTATATTTCCTTTTTTGATAATCTCAAAATCTTTGTCATGTTCACTATTAATCAATTAATTTGTAGTTCATGTTTGTTCTCTTTCCTCTATATAAACAACCATAAATAACCATGCATTTTTATATCATTATTCTCGTGTCAGTCTAATTTGGAAAACTTAAAAAGGACATAGAGAATATGAGATTGTATTACATTGATCACGAAACGGTATAAAACGGTATTGGACATGTGCACACTTTTTATATACCCGTTATTTATATGAACAACTGATAGTACAAGCTATTTGTACACGTTTTTTATGCCCTTTGTTTGTATGCAAAGGCAATTCGTTGAAAAATTGTATTTAAAGAAAAGTACAAAATATGTCCGTGTGGCGTGTAAAATGTGTGTGAGTGTACACGAAGAACGACTCTATTTATATAATGAAAACTAGTGCTTTCATTAGATTAGTTTAAGTTGTTAATTAATAAACTTATACGGAGTATTTTTGTCCATTTGAACCATCCAGCTAGCTGCATATTATCTTCTCTAAATGTACAAGTAGCACAGTTGTACACAATTCTAATGCCGTTCTTTAAATTCATGTGGAAAAGCCTATGAATACTTGCACTATTTTGGAACAGTTTTGATGTGGTATGATATACTACGTAGTTCTGGGGTGTATCACTTAGGGGCACCAAAATGTTATAAATTATACTGTCTGTATCTAGACCATTACCGCTCCTTACCGGCCCCTAGATATCACTTTCTTTTTTGGCATAGAGTTCAACACTCAACACTAATACTCCATTAGACAGAATTAGTCATTAAACTTGATATGAAATAGGATTATTTCACTCTAGATCTTACATGCTAATGAAAGTTTTGTACGTGGTATATTATGTTAATTAATAGTTATTATATACATTCCATACAAAAGTGCTATAAAATGACTTTCCTTGGCTTCTTATTAAATCCAGGAGTTGGGGAATAATTTCCTTAACTATTGCATATATCTGGCAACTCTACACACTATGGATTCTTGTTCAACTTCACGAAGCAGTTCCAGGGAAAAGATATAACCGATACGTGGAGCTTGCCGAAGCCGCATTTGGTGAGATTGCATATCTAACTCCCATTATTCTGAAAATTTAAACACGTCCAGTGTTATTTAAAATATAGTGTGCAATATGTATAAGTTCAGTGTTAAGCCATACTACATTAATCTTGATGTAATTCTCCTATGCGGTTTGCTTATCACAAGTTTCAACTTATTCATATTTAATGACATCATGACAAGTGGTGTTTGTTTGGACGTTTATAGGAGAAAGATTGGGCGTTTGGCTTGCTCTATTCCCAACGGTTTACCTATCTGCCGGAACAGGAACAGCTTTGATTCTCGTAGGAGGGGAAACCATGAAACTGTTCTTTCAAACCGTTTGTGGACCCCTCTGTTCATCGAACCCTTTAACCACGGTTGAATGGTATCTGGTCTTCACTTCCCTGTGCATTGTGCTATCACAACTCCCAAACTTAAACTCAATTGCGGGGCTGTCACTCGTAGGAGCAGTGACGGCCATCATATACTCTACCATGACGTGGGTCCTCTCGGTAAGCCAACATAGGCCACCTTCCATCTCTTATGATCCTGTTTCATTGCCTTCCTCTACCGCTTCTATATTTTCTGTCCTTAATGCACTTGGTATTGTGGCATTTGCTTTTAGAGGACACAATCTAGTGCTGGAAATTCAGGTACTCCTCTCCCCAGCTCATTGCCTGCCTATTGATATTACTCTCTCCTCTCCTGGCTAAAATATTTACCGTTTAGCCAATGTTGTTGTCCCAAAATAACAGTTCTTTTACTAATTCAATGCATTTTCTGTATTGCTCAGAGAATTGCCATTGTTGGCTTATTTCATATTAAATGTGATTGTGTCTTAAAATGACACGTAGTATATAAGAAGCATTTAATAATAGCATTTGGTAATATTGTTTTAATATGTGTGCACCTTTTTAAAACGCAACTCAAATTAGAACGGAGGGAGTATATCACGAGTTAGCTTCTAAGGGTTTGTTTGGTAACCGGAAAACGGTGTAAAAAGGAAAAAAAGAGTGCTGAGAATTTATTCAATTATTTGGTTTTAACTTGAAAGTGACAAACAAAAATCAAATTTGGTAAAAATGAAATTCAATTTTACATGTTTGTATGTGTTTTAGTCTTTATATGATAAATATATATCCTTAAAAATGAGTGAAGAAATACAAAAAAGTCCATTTCAACAAATGTTTATACTTTCTTGATTTTCTTTCGTCCGATATTTTATCCCCAATTTCATTCCATGTCATTTCCAGGCTCTAAATGGACCGTAAGTTATCGTCATTGGATTTTTCTTATCTTGTGGTACATTATGCAGGCAACGATGCCATCAACCTTCAAACACCCAGCTCACGTGCCAATGTGGAAGGGAGCAAAGGTTGCCTTTTTCTTTGTTGCAATGTGCCTCTTCCCTATTGCCATTGGTGGTTATTGGGCTTATGGAAACCTTGTAAGTTTTCCCCCACTTTCCCAACTAGCGGTTTCCATAGTTTTTACAACCACACAACATTTTAAAACATTTTGAGGACAATCCAATATTGATAACCCCATGGCATTATAATTAGGGGTAATTTGACTTTTTCCCCATTTTTGGTGATATTGAATATTGTACCCCATTTTCAGAATTTGTGCATTGTGTTAACTATAAAGTTGTTCGACTTTTCATCCCATTCCATCACAATTTTTGGGTTGATGGATTGAACAGTGAACACACCGACTCTGAAAATGGGATGCAAAGTTCAATATAATCAAAAATAGGGGTGCCAACTCAAATTCCCCTTTATAATTATCGTTTCTATTGTCTAAAAAAATCATGGATGGATCTATACGACTTCGAGCATACCCAATGGCATCTTTATTTGGTTTGTTCCAAAAAATGATGATGTAGCTTTTTGACTGGTTCATCCAGGTGCTCGTCCTCAGACATAAACACATTAAGGGTCAGTTTGGATGAAGGTTGGTTGTGGAGGTCTAGGAATATATTTTGAAAAACTATAGAATTGAAGGAATCCCGTAATAGATGATCATATTACATCCCATTCACACTTTATTACGCAGTACTTTTTAGAGACATTATTTTTATCAAGATAAATACTAAGCCTTCCAAAGCAATGAAGTGTTTCCTTCTAAATCCTTTGCAAACCTCTGAGTCTCGGGCTCTAGGGGACCGGAGGCCGAAGTCAATCTCATCTCTCATCTTCAGAACTGAATGTTAAAGCCTTTAGTTTGTTATGTTTTGGACATTTATTCCACCAGTTAGGTATGCTGTGGTAGGCTTCAATTTCGTTTTACCAACTTTGTCATGCTTTTTTCAGGAAATATTAACCGATTGATATTTCTACATGTATTTCGTAAATGAAGTATTATTTTCTGTATTTATCTATATATTTACAACAAATTATATAGATGATTGAGCTATTTCAGTCATAACTTCATGAGATTCACTCACAACCACCAAAGTTATTTGAAACCTTATCAAATGTGTTCTTAGTATAAAGACGAGATCTATGCTTGGAAACTGAAATGCTACTACTTTTTCAATATATTAACTATTGATTTTTCATTAAATCACACCCAGATGCCATCAGGCGGGATGCTTAGTGCGTTGTTTGAATATCACTCCCATGACATCCCAAGAGGCCTTCTAGCAGTGACATTTCTCTTAGTCGTCTTCAGCTGCCTGAGCAGCTTTCAGATATACTCCATGCCTGCATTCGACAGCTTTGAAGCGGGGTATAGTAGCCGCACGAACAGGCCATGCCCGATCTGGGTTCGATCCGGTTTTCGGGTTTTCTATGGATTCTTTTCACTGTTTGTAGGGGTAGCACTCCCTTTTCTCTCAAGTTTTGCAGGGCTATTAGGCGGGATCACTCTTCCGGTCACATTCGCTTACCCGTGCTTCATGTGGGCGCTTATAAAGAAGCCCACTAAGTATAGTTTCAGTTGGTACTTCAACTGGACCCTTGGTTGGTTGGGGGTGGCCATTAGCTTAGCCCTTTCAGTTGGTGGTGTTTGGAGCATGGTCTACAGTGGCCTCAAGCTTAAGTTCTTCAAGCCGCCTACCTAGCAGATGGAAACCACCAAAATGGGACTTTCAGAAGGAAGAAAATATATGGCTTGTCAATGTATGATTACATCTGAATTTTTTGACTAGGTAAAATGTTAAGTGTATTAAAATGGGTTGGGTAAGAATGTTTGCATTTGCTGGTGTTTGTGTTTAAATTTAATACAGTTGGATATTGGAATTGTATTTAACCTTTTGTCATCCTTTTTTCTTAAATTATGTATAGATAAGTTCTGAGTCCTGAGATGCATCAAGTAAACAGGGACATATCATTAAAATGTTGTAATGGAATAGTGTTTCTTTCTAATACAGTGAGTATGATGTTTTCCTGATTCAAAACATCTGTCAATTTACAGAAATAAAAAAACATATTCTACAGTTTTGTCAAGTATAACGTCAGGAATTTTGGATCCACTCGGACAAATAGAAGTATATCTTGCAAAAAGCAAGATTTGGGTCGGCCGAAATCCCCCTTTACCAAATTCCCTAAACCTTTTTTTTTTGGGGTTTTCGTAATTGGTACTTTGAGGTTAAAACATGCTTCTCCCATTTCTCCCAGTCTTTTACAGTTTTACTCCTTAATATTTTGCCAAGCTTGACTGACATGTAATAAATAAAATTTGTGAGACTGACGTTTGTATAGAGAAGTGAAAAATAATAGATATTTTAAATCAATTGATTACAAGTGAAAGTTACAAAGTTTTTAGGACAATTAAAAAAAGAAAATGATAAAGATACAAGGATAGAGGGTGTAGTTGATTTGTTCAATCAAAGTAGAAGCACCACTTTAACTTCTTAAACATGTAATATGTGTCATAAGGCCGTGTTAATATTTTTGAAGATAAAATAGTCTTGAGAAGAGAATGATTTTCTGTTTATTTCATTGAGGGTTTAATTCCTATATATATATACATTACAAAGATAGAATATTCTTATAGGAATCTATACAATCATAATATCTTAAAGTATATTCCTAAAATATTTTAAAGCATATTCTAAAGATAGAAAAGAATATTCTAAAGCATATTCTAAAATTTGTTATAATGTTTTTCACACTCCTCCTCAAGTTGGAGTATAAATATTTATCATGCCCAATTTATTACATAAATAACCAACATGAATTCCATTTAATGCTTTAGTGAACAAATCTCCAAGTCATTCTCCAGTCTTCAAATATCATGTACAAATAAATCCTTTTTGTACCTTTTCTTGAACAAAGTGATAATCAATCAAAATATGTTATATTCTCTCATGAAATACAACTTATACAAGGTTGGTGGCAATGTGTATAGCAGCTTGGTTATCACACCATCATTTTAGCAGGCATTGGTTTTTTCAATTCAATTGGATCAATAAATTAAATGGTTTATCCATATTATCTCACATGCCGATTTGGTGTAGCTCGATAAGTCGATATTCTGATTTAGCACTCGAACAAGAAATCACATCCTGCTTCTTACTTTTCTAGGAGACGAAATTACCACCAACAAAGACCCAATAGCTAGATGTAGATCTTCTATCATCTTTAGATCCAACCCAATCAGCATCTGCAAAGCATTCTATTCTCATGTGATTATGATTTTGATAAACAATACCTCATCCTGGTGTCACCTTCAAGTAACAGAATATATGCTCTACAACATTCCAATGATCAACTGTTGGAGATAACATATATTGACTCACTACGCTCACCGAGTACACAGTATATGGATGGATAACCGCGACATAATTAAGCTTTACAACTAATCTTCTATATCTTTTCGGATCTTCGAATGGCATGTCTCCATGAGTGAGTTGCACATTGAGAATCATGGGAGCATTGGTCGGTTTTGCCCCCAATTTCCCTGTTTCAGTTAGCCAATCAAGCACATATTTATGTTGAAATAATAATATGCCTTTCTTACTCCATGTTATATACCTAAATCCCCAAGAAGTATTTCAATGAGCCCAAAGCACATGACAACGATTTGTTCTCATTGTTTCTGCTGCACTTTGATATTAGGACTAAATGACATTAATGTATTCTTAAAATCATAAAATAAGTCGTGAGAGTCTTATCTTTCACTTCTGCTCTGTAAAATGTTTTGCACACTTCATAGATATGATTAAGATTATTACCTTTGCCAAAATACATAGATTCCAAATAATCAAATAGTTCTTTCATAATATCACAATCGATTAACATACCCCATGATGTCGTTCTCCATGGAGATCTGAATATGGATAAATAATTTAGTTTCATCGATCACAAAGCCACACATTATTAGCGGCTCTATCAACCTCCTCCTTTGGAGGGACGTTAACTATTATGTAGGTATATTTTTCAATGCTCCTTAAGTAACGTTTGATAGCTTTACTCCATTCAAGACAATTGGAACCACAAAATTAATGGGAATAACTTCAGAAACTATCAAATACCGATTTTGTATTATCGCGGAGGAGTCAATGTCGGAACCAGATTCTGATACAATGTTAACAAAATTGAAGATATAATAGTAATGAGAAGAGATTAATTTTATGTATATTTCATTGGAAGTTTAAGTCCCTGTATATATACATTATAAAGATATAATATTCCTATAAGATTCTATACAATAATAATATCCTAAATTATATTTCCAAAATATTCTACAACATATTCTTTTTTACTAGTATTTTTTATTTATTTTTTAATTATTTTTATTTTTTATTTCTTTAAATATTCTACAACATATTCTAAAGATAGAAGAATATTCTAAAGCATATTCTAATGTCTTTCACGGGCTATATTTAGGCTATGTTCGGCGTACAAAAGACTATTGCTTCTAGTTTCTCTATTGTTTAGAAAAACCTTAAAAGACTCTAGTTATGTGTTTAACCCAATAGCTTTTTTGAGAAGTCTAGGTCTTTTGTAAGATGCTACCAATGCAAGTCTAGTTGTTTTCACGTTTCCTTGTATAACCCTCCGCCTGTAAAGTTTTTACCAGTTGATCACTAGAGTCTTCACCTGTAAATTGTTTTTGCTATATCTATTCTTCCTTTTCTTTTGTCATGTATCTATCTTTTCTTTAGTTGCAGATTTTGCAAGTTTAATTTTGAATCTTTTTCCTTTTTTTCTTCGTTTGTTTTTCTATTTTTCGTGCAATGTTACTTTTTGCACGTCTTTTTGTTGTTGTTGTTTAATAATTACTAGTAGTTTATAAGTTTTTCTTGTACCTTGTAGTTTTTTTATAAATATTCATAGAATTAGTTTAAATTTTTAATTTGTCTGTTAACGTTATTTTAGTATCAATATGTAATTTTGTGTTTATTAACGTTTTTCATTAATTAATAAAATTTGACAATACCCTTAATTGTAATTTTATAATTTCAGCTATTTAAAATAGCCAGTTTCGCCAAACACGAATATTCAAAACAGGTACCTTTTAAGGAACAACTACGGTCTTTTTCATCAACAAGCTTTTCAGTACAAAAAAGCTAACAATTACTAAAAAGTCTGAAAAAGATCTTTTCAGCTTGTTAGCCAAACATAGGCTATGTTTGGCAGACATAAGTCTCTACCTTCTAGCTTTTGTACTATTCAAAAAGTCTTCAAAAGCTTCTAGTTATATGTTTGGCATGACAATTTTTAAGAGCTTTTCAAAAATTAAAAGATCTTTTTTGAGATGCTACAACGGGCAGCATCTGAAAAAGCCCGTGACTTTTAGTATTAATTAATCCTAACAGCTTGTATACCAAACCGAACTAAATCAAACAGTCATCTTTTTACCAAACAGCTACCACCTTTTCTTTTTAAGATCTTTTCGGTTATTAAAAACTAACAGTTATTAAAAAGCTCACAAAAGTATCTTTTCAACTAGTTGTGTCAAACATATAGTCTTAGGCGCGATTTAATGAAATTATGACTTGTGACTTATGTGACTCACGCAAAGATCTAAACCAAGAATGTAACAAGTCATCTATGGCCTCGAATGGGTTTGGAAATAGAATCCGCACACCAAGGCTGCCTATTAGATGGTGGACAATCTTTCAAAAAAATGATGGAGAAAAGTGTACAGTTTTTCCATTGATGACCCTCTCAATTTGTTCTCTTTTTCTTGTGCCTAAAACATTTGTTTTTTCTCCTTTTCTAATAAGTCATGCCTCACTACAAGTTAGAATATATAGAAATTGTTCTAAATAGAAGTAAAAATGTTTTGAAATTACAAAATAAGACTATCATGTTTTTTATTCTCTGATGACAGAAATTTACTCATAATAAGGGAATAAAAAACATGATAATCCTATTTTGAATTTCAAAACGTCTTTACTCCCATTTAAGGAATTCTTTCTAGAATATACGATAGCACTATGTATAAAAATTGACGACTAATATACTACGTAGTACGTAGTACTACGTAATGTGTATAATTTGTCTTTTTTTGTTTTGTTCATTTTAAGACATCATATTCACATGATACAAACTAAATTCTTTATAGATTTTCCTCAAAACGTGTGTAAAGCATTTCGTCCAAGTAGGTCCCTATTTCTTTCTCATATCTCTTTCAAAGTCGAATTGAGCATACGATTTTGAGTGATTTACAATAATTGACATACTTTTATGAGTTCTTGTTGCATAGCTTTCCTCCACCCCCCTCTACAAAGCCTTTCATCTAAATATGTCCCGATTTCTCTTTTTTTTTTTTCTTTCTTCGAAATTCTATCCTACCATACGTCCATACAAACTACAAACTAACACTATGTATGGAATATATATAGAGTAGCTAAATGGAAATGTACGACCTTTTGTAATTCATCGGGAAATCGGCTTAATCGGGTAGTAAAGGCTTAAATTTGGGACTGTTCTTTCATTGTATACGAATGGGCAATCAGTATAGAAATTGAGTAGAGGGGTAGAGAAAATGGATTCCTCACTAGTCACTCTATGGCCGAAGTGGCATTTTCGTGGTGCTGCACAATGGTGCGTGCACCTTATACAGTTATACCCACTTATAGGCATCTCCATGCATATATGTGAGCAAGTCTCAAAGTGCTGTTTTGGGTTTATTGGAAGGACTTGTTTCCAATGTTTTGAATTGTATTAAAAATTTTGAAATTTCAAAGTATGATATAATCTATTTTGATAATTTGATTTGGTCTCTTGTAGTGTGGATTGTGAAATATTTACATCTCACAAGATATGGAAACAACCGTTCATATGTAAGGGTGTGTTTGCAAAACATTAAAAAAATGTTTTTCAACTTTTGGTTTAAAATTTCTTTTCTCTAGAGAGATAGGAACTCTAGTGGGGGCTCCCCTATTTGTACGGGTTGAGATATGATGTTCCCCTATCAATAGGGGGTTGGAGTTGCAAATTATACTGATTTTCTGTGTTCTAACACTTGTGATTGCAACTACGTCAGAGGAGATAACGTTAACAGATGAACGAGGTGCGGCTGGGAGGTTGTATCGAGGTGGGATCGGGAAGCCTTGGCCGGCCATTCCGATGGTGGTGGATTTTGTATTCACCCATATTGTAAGAGCTCTTCCGGCCTCCTCCGGAACCACCTCCATACCAATAAGAGATTTGTGGAAAGATTTTATTTTCTCTTTAGTATCATTTGCTTCTGTTTTAGTTCGAGTAGATCTGGTTTGAATGTTTGGACTTTTGGAGTTCATTTAATAGGCAGAGTTTCGGTTCCGATCATTTAATAATGAATCATGTTGCTTTGTATGAGGTGGCCGACTCTAAGTCCACTCCTAGGGTTCACGATTGTATCTGTAAATTCTGTCTGCTGAAGGCTGCTGTCTTGTATGTGTTATCGATTTGAATATAACGGCCGCTCTCTTAAGATCAGATAAAAAAAACTTTTGGCTTAAAAAAGACTTAATTAGTCTTCTCAAGTGATATCTTCTGCTTAAATTGATGATCACTTGAAAGCTAAAAGCCGAAAGCAGGTGAAAGAGTGCTTTAACCAGCTTTTCACTATTTCTAGTATACAATTAGCGCTATTTTTATCAAACACTATCAATTTCTATTTTTTCTGAAACATTACAAACTTTTACTATTAACAACTTTCTCTTAAAATAACTTTAAAACCCCATTTTTTCTTCAAAAATCACTACCGAAAAGTTGTGTTTCCATTTTTTGGAATTAGAATCGAATCATACCATTAGATTCGCGTCGTCAAAACGATCAAACAGGTATATTCCGGCAACCAACCGGCCACTGGAACTCACAACACGCACCGAAATGTGGGATCACACTCAGACAAGGGGAAAGGGGAGGAAGGAAGACGAGCCACACCATCGTTGATGTTATTAGTAGCCAGTAACTGCCGCGTCAGCGACATGCAAGCAATTACGCACCAATTAATCAACCGCCACATACGCGCCCTCCTACGTCAGCTGCTAAGGGCATCACCATTGGTAAGATTATTTGAATATTAATGAGATGCCGTGTTAGATTATTTCAAGGATTAACATTGAGGAAAAAAGATTATTTAGGGGAATTATTTAAAAAGAAAATTCGGTATCAAGATTCAAATCCCGGATTATTGTAGATTATAGTTAAAATGCATTTAATGCATGTCATAAAAAGCTAACTATATGAATATCATTGTTGATGAATAATTTTAAGCTTTGAGATTATTAAGAATTTAATGTGTAAGAATGACATGACAATTAGGTGTACTAGAAAATCGTTTATTTGAATATCATGAATGGAGATGCTCTAAGTCATGTGCCACTTGTCACCTAGTAAGCACCACAACTTGCCGCATCAGCTACCACATTTTTGGTCATTTATTATACTCCATCTGTCCTTATAACTTTGTCAATTTTACTTTTTTGGATATCCCATTAACTTTGTCACTTTCTCTTTTAAGTAAAGAATTTGTAGTTCCAGTTAATTCTCTCTCCTCTACACAGACCTCAACAACATAATACTTTACTAAACCTCGTGACAGTCAAACTTGATAAAGTTATTAGGAACGGATCACGGATGGAGTAGTTTTGAAGAAGTGCAATTTAGTTCCTCGACTTTTGAGAATTTATGAAGCTCACCTATAAATTTTCGAAATTGTATTTTGACTGTGAAGTGTCTACCCTACCATTTTCGACCGTTCTAGAGACAATGAGCCCGTTTTTTTCTTTCCAAATAGTATTTTGTGGAGCTATGATTAGTTTGTTGCTAAGTACATGTTGTAGAAACCTCAAACGGAATATGCGTTCAACCATAAATAACTATTTGATCTAATATAGTTGATAATATTATAAATCGTGACCCACCCAAACCAATAGAGTGGAAGAAGTTAATAAAAAAATTATTGGTCAAATCCGATTGGGGATTGATCATAGTGAAGCCCACCACGTTACACAAGAAACTGACGCTTACACCCTTGATCAAAAGAAGTTGGAAGACATGTACAAGGCCAACACCGCTAGGAACATGGCCCTACTTATGAGGCATTTTGTCTATATCAAGCTGCACATTGAAACTTCTGTTACATAGCATAACGTTGAGTTCCAAAGTTTGGTAAACCAATAATCTTGTGTAAAAATGTCACCTGTAGATGAAATGCAATCTCTATTACTTCTAAACTCCCTTCCTGATAGTTGGGAAATACTAATCGTTACTCTCAACAACTGAACCCAAAATGTCAAACTTACAATGTCGATGGCAAAAGATGCATTGTCCGATCAATGAAGAGGGATGAGGGAAAGATACAAACACAAATCAAACTCGCTTCTATACTCAGAATTTACCCACATGATTCTAGTTCGATTCAGGAAAAGAATCGGCTCGACCGCTACCTGCATATTATAGCTAGGGGGTGGGTATCTGTTTAACAACGAGCCCAGATTGATACTAAATGGACATGACCTAGGAGTCCTGGCATTATTCGACCAAATCGGATTGTTCCGATTATGACCGAATCAGATCTGTACTGGACTAAAATAACCATTGAGTATTAGAAGCATGCAATTGAGTATCACGATCCACACATAATATATAAGCTATAAATCAACTTATTCAATTCATTAAACTATATTATCATTTAGTGATCATGAAAAAATATTGTACTCGTTTTAAACTTTCATATCAACACTCATTTTGTTAAATACAAAATACCAGATTTTACAATGAACATTGTACCCTTTTTTTTTTTTTTTTTTTTTTGCTTTTTTAGATTGGGAAGTTTGAATATTGATGAAGGGAGTATTCATAGATAAAAACTCAACGTACTCATTTGTTTCTACAAGGATAGTAATGGCGGTGGAAGGATCGTAACCCACGGATTATTTCTTCCCTCTAGGATCCTCCCAAATATGATGAATCATTTCTCTTCCACTTCATCAAGTATCTGTTCCTTCCTCGATCCAGACGTACAGAGACCTCTAAAGGGATTGATGAGAGGAACTGATGCTGTTATCCGCGCCGCTTTTGATTGGTCGAAGGGAGAAGAGGCGCAAATTAGAGTAAGAAGTGGGACCCCCCATTTCAGTATGCCGAATCTGTGAGATCGAGTACAAAACTGGGAGTAGTACGTACCCCAGCTAGCTAGGATGGCTATGGCAGTCAAAATTGTTTCTGGATACAGAAAGGGTACGTCGTCCTTCCTGCATGCCCCGCCAGTTTCAGGGATTCCCTCAGTCCTCAGTTATCTATACATCAGACTATCATTTTCTTTTCTCTGCATTGACTTGTACTATGAACAGATTTTTGCGCAGTTATTTGTATATGGAGGATTTGATTTCCATCAAGTGTGTAGTTCACTAGTTCTATCTTTATCCATTAATTATTTGATATTATCCTATATTAATACAGTAGAGCACTTCGTATTTCTCAAAATAATATCCTACTTACTCAAAAACATACTCATTGGAGTCATTGGATTTACTACTCCTACGGTAAAAAGACAATCTATTCATAGTTCTATGTTTACTCATAATTTAATACCCCTACATTAAATTTTGCCAATTTTCATATTTGTTTATCTAAAAATACATTTTTTTAAACTAAATTATTTTATTTGGTTTATTTCTCTGTGTTCTGTACAATTCTTAATAATACGATTGAATATGCAAGTAATTTTGTCAGGATTTCTAAATTATACAAAAACTACGCTCCTTTTCCCATCAAATAGTTCACACTTTGACATGAATAGGAGTTTAAGAAAGTGTAAATAAAGTAGAAATATATGATTGTGATAGGTCTAAAAAGGAAAGTGAGAACTATTTTATGAGATTGAAGGAGTAGTTATTTTTCATTTATTTGGCAATTAAATTTGTTCATCAAATGATTTTTGTACATACATGACTAATTAAACTATACCACGAGAAAGTTTGACACATTTTTTAAATAACATGGAGCTAATATTTCAAATTTATACTTCGTATTTCACAAAGGTTTAGAGGCCGTTTGGAATCACTGTTTTTCGGCTTAACAGGTCTATCAGACAACTTTTTCACCAAACACATAACTTTTGTTTTCATAGGCTGAATTGTGTAATAAGCAGAAAAAATAAGGTTCATGTTACTTTTCAGGCTGTATTGGCTAAAGTTTAAGTTACTGTAGACCATTGTAACTATTTTTAAAGATAATTTTTTCTTTATTTTATTAATAAAATATATTCTTAATTTTTTTCTTAAATCAGCAGAATCAGCCATGCAGCCATTTCAACCAAAATTTTATAAATTTCAGCAGCCAAAACAGCCGATTTTTGTGCTACCAAACGGGCGGTTAGTGCTTCAAACCCCATAAATATTACCGAGTACTCCGTATCAAAATAGTACTATCGTACTCCCTCCGTTCTTTTTTATAAGTCCTTCTTTCCTTTTTGAGACGCTTTTTTATTTGTCTTCCTTTCCTTTTAAGGAAAGTTTTTGAGAAAATACCCATACTTTTATTACTTTTACCCCACTTACTTTTTACAAACTACTTTCTATTTCCTACTTTACCATCACTTTACTCTTCTTAATATACTCTATTTCCTACTTTATCATGATTTTACTCTTTTTAACATACCATCTTTCCTATTTTATCATTTACCCTACACACTCTATACTTACCCTACTACTCTATTATTAAAACTCGTGCCAAACCCTAACAGAACTAATAAAAAAGAACGGAGGTAGTATAAATTAATAAATTATGGATGAAGATCATACTAAAGTTAATACGGAGTATTAGAGTATATATGAGTAATCATCATGGCCACTTTAATGTATTTGAACATTATACTACCTCCGTCCCAATTTAGTTAGTCAATCTTGACTTTTCCGGTCAAAGGTGGTAAACTTTGACCAATTATTTTAACTAATATATTTATGAAAAAATTAATAATTTTATACTTTTATAATAGTATTTTTAACAAAGAACATTTTCATATAATTTTTATATTATTAATATTTCCTCTATATAGGTATATAATCAGTCAAAGTTAGGTACCGTTGACTTGAAAAATCAAGTTTGGCTAAGTAAATTGGGACAAAGAGAGTAATGATTACTAAAAGTACTACGTATAGTAGTAATATGATGATTAATGTATAAAAATCACATTTTGGGCCACTCTTTTTTGTCACTACTATGGTGCAAAATGAAATACTACGTATTATCAAATTATCGTGCATGGCAATTAAAAGAAATATTATAATCATCCAAATTTCAAATATATGTAGTAGGTTCCTTCCTTCTTTTTGAGTTGCAACATTCTTTTTTTCACGTTTGCCGTTATACAACTTTAATCGTCATTATATTTAATTTTTTATCAGTAAAAAATTTTTAAAAATCAGATTGTGAAACTTTATAATGAGATGAATTTAATATTATTTTTCAAAAAAAAAAATAACCCACATACATTAATAAATAAAATGTAATCAAAGTAGAGTACATGAATAGTTTGTAAATTCCAATATGAGATTATTTACAACTTATGATAGGGAGAATAGCGTAAACTTGCATTTTTATTGTTTTCACGAATTACGGAGTGGTAGTAACTCTAATAAGGTAATACGAAGTAAGTAATAAGTTAATGACGAGTCAATAATACTGCATTTCTTCGAGATAGATCAACAAAGACTCTTTTTGATGAGTATCTACGCGCTAAAAACACTGTAATTAGAAGTTTAGAACCACTGTTTTCTATTACTCGAGATATACCAAGTACCCTACAAATTTTGAGCAGTTAATTAACCAGACATGTGAAACGTAATTAAAGAAACAAAACCATACGCATATCCATGGTTCAACACAATTAACCTTCCATTATTTTCATTAGCCGATTCAAGATTTCCTTTCGGGTCCAGAAATGGCGAGTTCCGGCCAGCCTAAACAATCACCGACGTCGGCTAGGCCGCCTTCAGCGATCTCTCCGCCGCCGGTCCGCCACGCGTTCCAACTCGGAGCAGCCACGCTTCCGATGAAACTTCCACCAGCAGCTTCACCGACGATATCTTCCGCCGCCCAGTCGCAGAGCCCGAACCCGTAATCCAACCCATTCGACCCAAATACATACTCAATACCGCTGTCCACCGCCGTGGAGCTCAGCAGAGATGTGAAACTCCCGGCGGTCTCGGGCCCAGGCACCGTCTCATTCAGATTCACGTCGCGACCCGACCCGGTACGCAATCCAAGAGCCGCAGGAACAGGGGAGCGAACAGAGCGTGTCGGGGAAGTTGCGGCGCGGGAGCGTTTACCGGAGGGGCGCCTGTGGCTGCCGCCGACGGGGACGTTACGGATGGATCCGCCGCGGGTCCAGTAACGGCGGCAGGACTTGCAGAAATGGCGCGGCTGGGAGAGGTTGTAGTTGTTGTAGTAGCAGAATTTGGTGTTGGTGGAGTGGCAACGTGGGCAAGAGAGGTTCTGGGTGTCCGATAATGGCGGCCTTGAAGATCGTTTCTCCGATGACATTTCTTCTTTTCCGATCTATGTTGTTTTTTTATAGCTTCTACACTTGTGGTATTCTTATGCTCGGCTCTCGTATGGTCTCAGGTGAACAGAGGTGAGGCACAAAGGCAGTCTTTAATTAAAGAAAGAGACGATGCGGATAAAGCACGAGACAAAATGTTGACTGAATCAGGACCCGAACCGTATCCTCTTCAAAACAGTCCGGTTAATTATAGGGAGTTTATATAATTGGAAAAGATACACATATACATCCAAGCCTTAATCCTAAAAGATTTTGCGGTCGGTTAACATGAATCGGTCCATTATATCGAAGTCATAAAGAGAAGACAAACAAGAGGAAATAAAAAGATAAAACGAATATTATAAAAATAGATAAATATAAGAATATAAGAAAGATAAAAGAACATAAAAAAGGGAGAACATAAAAATAACATAAGAACATGAAAAGACAAAGAAGATAAGCAATAAAAGAAAAGAAAAGAAAAGAAAAGAAAACGAGAGAGGAAAAGAAAAAAAATATCAACCGTCCACACGCCCTCCACTTTGCCCTCTCTAAAGTCATGCTCTCATCCAACCCACGAAGACGCATATCAGTTCTGATTCATCTAATTCAAGTCTGTTTAGGTCTTCCCCTCCCTTTCCTCTCTGTCTCTTCTCCCCACCCCTCAAGTCGTCTAACAAGTGCATCACTCGGTCTTCGACGCACATGCCAAAACCACCGCAAACGAGACTCCTGCATCTTCTCTTCTATAGGTGTTACTCCCACCTTTTGTCTGATTACCTCATTCCTCACGCGATCTTTTCTGGTATGTCCACACATCTAACGCAACATACACATATCTGTCACACTCATCTTTTGAAAGTGACATTGTTTCACCGCCCAACACTCTACGCCATACATTAATGCATGCCTAATTGCTGTTCGATAAAATTTACCTTTCAGTCTAGACGACATACCTCGATCACAAAGAAATCCTGATGCACTCTTCCATTTCATCCACCCAGCTCTGATTCTATGCGATACATCTCCATCTAATTCACCATCCTTCTGAATTATGGAGCCCAAATAACGAAACATATCACACACTGGTATTTTCTTACCATCCAGAGTAATCCCACTGTTGCTACTACTTCTACCTTTACAAAACTTGCACTCCATATACTCAGTCTTGCTCCGACTTAGTCTGAAACCCTTGGTCTCCAAAGTTTGTCGTCATACTTCTAACTTTGCTTTAACACCCGATTATGTCTCATCAATCAATACAATATCATCGGCAAACATCATGCACCATGGTATATCTTCTTGAATTGACTTCGTAAGTTCGTCCATGACTATAACAAATAAGAAGGGACTCAGAGCCGATCCTTGGTGCACTCCGGTAGTAATAGGGAACTATGTGGTCCTCCCTATACTAGTACATACACTCGTAGTACAAGGCTCATACATATCCATGATGATACTGATATACTTACGTGATATGCATTTTCTAGTTAAGGCCCACCAAAGAACTTCTCGAGGTACCCTATCATACGCCTTTTCTAAGTCAATGAACACCAAATGCAGATTCTTTTTAGTGTCTCTATACTTCTCCACAACTTGTCTAAGAAGGTGAATGACCTCAGTTTTTGAGCGTCCAAGCATAAAACCAAACTGATTTTCTGAAATTTTCACACTTTTTCGAAGTCTTTGCTCAACCACCCGCTCCCAAAGTTTCATAGTGTGACTCATAAGCTTAATCCCTCGATAATTGGCACATTCTTGTACATCACCCTTATTTTTAAATAAGGGAATGAGAATACTCTTCTGCCAACTCATTGGCATTTTGTTGTTTCTCCAAATCATGTTGAAGAAATGTGTTAGCAACTCAATGCCTTTCTCTTCCAAACTTCTCCAAGCCTCGACCGGTATGCCATCTGGGCCCACTGCTTTCTTCTGCCCCATCTTTCTGATAGCCTCTTTAACTTCTGTTATTTGGATCCTTCTCACAAAGTCCCGATTTACCATACATTCAGGTATAGTAAGATCATCAAAACCTTACACCTTATTCCCGTTGAACAAGGTATCAAAGTATGACCTCCACCTCTCCATTATTTCCCCATCCTCCATTAGTACCCTTTGATCGACATCCTTCACACACTTAACTTTTCCGATATCTTGAGTCCTACGGTCACGAAGACGAGCAAGTCTGTAAATATCTTTTTCTCCTTCCTTAGAGTCCAATTTTGCATACAATTCCTTGTTCACTTTTCCTCTTGCTTCCTTTACATCTTTCTTTGCTCTTCTTCCTTGTACTCCTTGTACTCCTCTATGTTCTCGTCACTCCAGCTTTTGCCCAATTTCTTATAGCATTCCCTTTTGGTCCTTATTGCTCGTTTCACCTCTTCATTCCACCAAGATGTGTTCTTTTTTGGTGGTAGACATCCTTTAGATTCACCTCTTCATCTCTTTCGCAATTTTGTTAATGGTGGACTCCATTGACAACCACACATCATCCACATGTGTGTCATTATCAATGGACCAAACATTTTCCTCCAACATTTTCTGTGCAAAAGTTTGTTGGAGATTCCCCTCGAGTCTCCACCACTTTATCTTTGGCTCCCCTTGTACCTTAACCCGCTTTCTCATTTTACCTTGAAAATCAAGCACAAGCATCCTATGTTGAGTGACAACACTCTTACCTGGGGATAACCTTACAATCAGTGTAGCTAGTTCTCCAAGTCGTCCGTACTAAAAAGTAGTCAATTTGGATACTATTAGCTCCACTTCTATAGGTCACAAGGTGAGAGTCTCTTTTCTTGAACCAGGTGTTCATCACGGCCAACTCATATGTCGAGGCAAAATCCAGAATGTTCTTCCCCACTTCATTTCTAGTGCCAAAACCATGTCCGCCATGGAAAATCTCAAAACCATCACGACTTGGGCCCACATGCCCATTGAGGTCGCCTCCTATGACCAACTTCTCTCCCCTTGGCACTCGTCACACCACTTCCTCAAGATCCCCCCAAAATTGTTGAGTGATAGATGCATCCAATCCCACTTGTGGTGCAAAGGCACTTATCACAAACACAATCTCATCTCCTATTATCAACTTAATGCTCATGATGCGGTCGTTCTTCCTGAAGACTTCCACCACACCCTCAACATAATCATGTGCCACCATAATGCCTACTCCATTTCTGTGCCTTTCTCTACCACAGCTTAAAACCTCCGGGATTAATCTCACGTGCCTTTTCTCCAACCCACTTAGTTTATTGCATGCACATTATGCTGACATTTCTCCTTTTCATAACCTCAGCTATCTCAGACGATCTTCTCGTAAGAGATCCAACATTCCATGTCCCAAAACGCAATCGAGCATCCTGCCTTTTCTTCTTCGCACCACATCGACTCCCACCATGCCCTTGCATATTTGATACCATCCCCGGGCATTGGAGTGGCGCGTCGCTTCCGGGCGACGACCTAGCATCCTTAGCACTCTTATCACCACACCCAGGCTTACGAAGCGTAGCGCGCCCTTGCATATTTGACATCACCCCCAGGCGGAGGGATGACGTGTCGCTTACGGGCGACGACCTAGCTGTAACGATTTTCATGTTTCGATTCATGTCATGAGATGTGACTAAGTAATATTGTTGGCCATCATGCGCCTACCACAACACCCTCCTCCTTTATCCTGGCTTGGGACATGCATGATAATAAAAAAAATGATATCATGAGTATGAGAATAAATACATTCATTTTCTATTTTTTATAACAAATATATTCCTGAAGTTTATACGGAGGTGTAAAAATATTCCTCATGTTCCTACAAAAGAGTAAATTTACCCTTATTGACTGTTTTTGAATGGAAATAATCTATATTAAAATTAACAAATCAAGCAACATTAAAATAGACTCAAGATCATAACAACCCCAGACATATGTCCGATGATCATACTTTGACTCTGCCACCCACAAACGAGCCGCAAAAGTCGCTAATCATGTAATTGACAAGTTGAAGCTTAACATCACCATATAAGTCTTCATGTTTCTATAGTGATGTAAAAAACTTATAAATCTACCAAATCAAACCGACACAAGAAAATAATAAAGAAACAAGTCATCAGTTTCCATTAATGTCGCGTCGTAGGTTGATTCCATTGGACCTGCAAATCTGTGTCGATTGTCTGAACACCAGTGATTTTATTCCAATCTTGTAGTTAATAATTTGATAAAAGTCTCGTACTACTCCATCCTCTTGTGGTGGTGGTTCTGGAGGAGGGTGAATCAACAGTGTCATCATATATGGGTTGAGAAGCATAATTGGATTTGAGAAAAACATATATAAAACTCGATGAGTAACATAAATATCAATTGAACAATAGCATAACTCCATGGAAGCACTTGCATCATTTATTTGAGAAGAAACCACCCATAAAATGACTGCCAAAATTGATAGAACAAGAAAAACCCTAAAAATTTTAGGGAATAAAACACCACTCATACAAGTGCACAATTCATTTTTTTTACTTACGTATAAACTCCGTATTGTGAAGAGTAATTCTCCTCCGACCTTCAAACTGAGAGAAACAAAACTCTAAAATGCTAAAGCAATGGAAAACGTCGGAGGCAATGCTCTTTCCGCCCTTGAAGCTGATTGAGACCACCTCCTCACCCTAGGGTTTGAGTGGTGGCTACATCTCATTTATAGAGGGTCTTTACTGATAAATTGAAAGTACTCAACTTCCCGAAAACTTGATTAACACATATTTGAGTATGTCAATCAATTATAAATTGAGTACTCCGTATAATATTTACATGATGTGTATCTACCCTTATTGGCTTAAAAAACACTAAATAAATTATAAATTCGAAATTGAAATACAAAAAAATAACAAAAAGTTCTAAATAAAGATTTATTTTTATGTAAAAATATTAACTCAATAAATTTAAGTTGCAAAATTATTATTTTTCCGTTGTAAATGAAGCACTTGAAATTCATAAATATTAGTTCTAGTCTTGTTTCGAAAATTTGAACTCATTGTTACATTTTTGATTTTTTTTTATTTTGTTTAATCTTTTAATTTCACTAT